AGTCCTTGACTTAAGCCCAAAATTTATGTTGCCAAGTGAGACAGTTGTGAAGTGAGTTTTGCCCCATGTTACGTGACACTGCAACCATCATAAATATGAATCCGTTGCCAAGCATCCAAATTTTGTTCAGGTAACTCTGGGGATACCGCAACGATCATAACTGTGAAAAACTGTCAAAAGTCACTTTTTCCAGTGTCTTCAAAACTTTGGATGGTAATAAATGTAACAAAAGGTATATTTAATGATTTGTAAAACATATGTGAAGAGAAATAAGGGAAAAATTAATTATGGAGATTATATGTGTTTTTAAGGAAGTATGATATTTAATTGAAAAGAAGTGTTAAAGATTTTAAGATTTTAATGATTATTAATGATAGAACTGAACTGGAATGGAATGAGGGTTTATAATTGCATATATTTACAATCTTTCTTTCTTTCTTTTTTAAAGAATATAGTGTGTATTATAAGAATGTACCAAGCAGAATTCGATTTGAAGTTATGTATTATATTGAAGGTCATAAACTTAAGGTATATATTGAAGTTTAAATAAGAGTTGAATGGATGTAGTTAAAAGATATAAAGGTGTCATACTCCAATTAGTAACTACAGGAGAAAATTTGTTTAATGAGAAAAGATAATATGAAATTGAAACAGAACAGACAAAAGTATAAATATAATGATTTGAATTGAGATGAGATAATCAAAATAAAATTGAGAAAATTAAAAGAGGGGAAAAACTATATAGAAAATGCAAAATAGTATAAGATATGGAATAGAATACAAAAAGGAGCATGAAATTGAGTTTTGTGTCTGTATAAAGAAGTTCAACCCGGGACCATGCTATTTTCAAAAAAGATGTTTTACTTGTATTTTGTATGTGTGAAAACCCAAATAAAATTTTATTAAAAAAAAAAAAAATTGGATGGTCACTAAATGAATGGTTGTAAGTCCAGGACTACCCGTATGTGGTCTATTGTGAGGAAAAGTTTTTGGTATTCAGGAAAATGAGTATTCACTTTATTATATCGAAGTGAAAGGTATTTAGCAAAAATAGGTTGAATGCAGTGGACACAGATGTCCACAAAAAAAGATAAAGGGAAGAAAGATGAAAAAAGCAACATCACACCGTTGTGGCAAAAAACAACAACCCCTCCCCATTTATGTGTGCGCTGTTACATCAGATCCATGAGTGAAAGGAGTATGCTTTGTGTTGCAATGTTATGACATTGCTTTTGTCATTTTGATAAAAGCCCACAACCCTTAGTGGACAACCCATTAAATATGAACCACCTGTGTGTAACGGCAGCCAAAAAAGCCAATGCAATCCTAAGTTGCATCAACAGAGGGATTTAATCAAGATCACGTGAGGTACTAATACCATTCTGTAAAGCCTTAGTAAAATGACCCCTAGAATACTGCATCCAGTTTTGCTCACCACACTATAAAAATATAGACAGAAGAGAAAAAGAAACTTAATAGAATAAAAGTACATTTAAATATCCGATCACATTGAGAGATCTGAATCACAAAACAAGTGTATGAAGGAAGAGTTAATAGGTTGCTGCTAAAAAGGTCTAAAGAAAATTGAGATCAGATGGAATAAAAGACATCCTCAAAGAGATAGATAGGGCCATGATGTTTGAAGAATGAAATTATAGAGATTAAAATTACTTTGTTATTTAAATGTTATAATTCTAGAGCATGTATCATTACTTTATAATTTTAAGGAAAAAAGTATCTTGTCATTTCCACCTATTTTATTCATGGCTGTCTTGAATTTTAGGAAAAAACAAGTTCGCCTCCTCATTTTCTCCCTTCTTACTTTACCCTTGAATTTCCCTTTTTGTTTTTCCATTATTTCAATACATTGCTGGATCTCTCCCCCACCCCACCCCCAAATTAAGTATCTCAGGCGGACTCGGCTAAGACCAACCTTTTCCTGTCCAGAAGTATACATCCTTTAAAATTCTTTCTATTTCATTTTTCCCCATTTGTCAAGGCTTTTTGTGAGGCGCCTATATCTCAAGAAGTATTGTGATCATTTGCACCTAGCCTGTCCTTGATTACTGCTAAAGAGACCAACCTCTTGACTTCAGAATAGTTCATCAGGATGTTATGCCTATTGTGGTTTCTATGATTTCCTCACTTTTGTTTACACCGTCCTACCGATTTAGAGTTGACCTACGTGCTAGAAATGGGTAAAAACCTGTGCCAGCGGGTTGTAGAGAGGAGGGTATAGCAAGGTTTCTCAATTCCAGAATTTAAAATATAATATGATTGGTTTTAAGTCTGATTGCACCTAATGCAAATTTCCTGAACATTCATAATTCTGTAGGCCTTAAAGGGCTCCCCCCCCCATTTGATGCTGGGCCCAGCTGGTAGGTGAGCTGATAGATGAAATAAATTAATATGGAATGATTTTAGCTGGCCGTGATTTTGTTGGGTCTTTGTTCTGCATAATGCTTTTTGGACTAATTTTAATCTTAGGTTGTCTGTCCAGAGTCACAAAGTGTGAGTTGGATGTTCCTATAAATGGGTTAAATACATAAATAGCTTTATGGGTAGTCCTTGACTTACAGAAGTTCATTTAGTGACAGTTCGAAGTTACAACAGCACTGAAAAAGTGACTTGTGATTATTTTTCACACTTATGAACATTGCAGCATTCCCATGGTCACGTGATCGAAATTCAGATGCTTTGTAACTGACTCATAGTTATGACCGTTGCAGTGTCCCAGGGTCATGTGATCCCCTTTTGAAACCTTCTGACAAGCAGGATCAAGGAGGAAGCCAGATTCACTTAACAATCGTCTAAACAACTTCAGTGATTTATGCATATAATTTGCTATAGACTTCTGCCTGTTTCTAAAATGCCTCAATTTTGATACTTGCCTAAATGCATGAAACGTAGGGCACAATGAACCTAGTTTAAAACATGTAACTGTCTGCCTTAATGCTTGAAAGGTGGGCATAAAAAAACAACAACATTTTTACGTTTTAATACATATGGTAGTTTATCAAATGTCCAGCCTAAACCAGGGTTATTATTATGAAGTAATAATAACCAGTCTTCTGGCCGCTCCATCTCCCATTACCCCACCTTCTCACAAGCTTAGATTCTCTAGATATATTGAGAGAACAGCTCCCAGAATTCATATTCAGACATTCTGGGAATGACAGCCCCCAAACACCTAGAGGGTATCAGTGGAAGGAAAGTTATTTCAGTGAAAGAGCACCAGTGTTTTATTACACAGCAGTGTTCATTTTACATGTTGCTGTTCTCCAGCCCAGCAAACCTCTTTCCTGTTGCATCCCATTTCTTCAACCTTGACTGCTCGGGGCAACCATATATTTAATGAAATCTGCTAATAAATCTCCAATTCCCTTTGAGTAAGCAATCCTGCTGCAGACTCAGCTTTCTGTCCCTTGACTTTACCAGAGCCCAAATAAGATTTGTACTCCAACAGGGTAAGCATTTACTTTATCAGAAAGCATATTAGCGTGGGCATGTCTCAGCATAATGTGTACCGAATCAGAGGGTATGACTAATTTGTTCTGCTCTTAAGTGGATGATAAAATGATTTAGACACATATAAATATATATGGGACATCGGGCACTTTAGGTATTACATGTTCTGTATCTCATCCTAAGCTTGTCAAAATCGGAACGCTTTTTATGGATGAAATGGCATTTACAGGAAAAAACCCAGCTTTGCCCAGAACTTAAAAATGTTTACCTAAGGGAAGAAAAGCTGATGGAAAATAAACATGGATAACACTGCAAGAATTTGAAGATGTAAATGAGCATAAATGATGCTGGAGTTTCATCTGATTTTTGTTCATTATACTGTGCTAAGTGTTGGAGAGAATTTATACAGGGGTGTCAAACTTAAGGCCTGAGGGCTGAATATGGCTCAGGGGGCGACCCTGGAAACAGTGAAGGACCGGTCCACGGTGCTTCTGCTATCAAAAACGGAGCTCAGGAGGGCTGTGTGCAAGGCCATTTTTGCTGGCAGAACGCTCGGGTCACCACAGGCACCCCGACACAAGTGACATCAAGCTGGTCACGCCCACCCTAACCAAACTAGCCCAGTCTGCCTATGTCAGCTTTAGAAGCCATATTCCACGCTACCACATAGCCTGAGAAAGTGGGAGGGGGGTGATTTCAATTGAGTAGCTCTAAGTAGACAAAATAAAACTCTTTTGTTAGTTCAAGGTCATTGAGTATGGCGCAGGATGAAATAAGCATCTTACTTTTGGAAGGATTGTGATTGGGCCATGTGATGTGATGATGGCGGGGGGTGTGTGTGTGGATTTGTAGTTTGGGAAATTGTGGGAAGCCCCGAAAACTTTTAAATTCGGGATTCCACAGATGTGCCATTTGCTTTTCTAATAAAGGTACTTTTGATATATGGTTGTCTTGGAGTTACTGATTGAAATGGAGGTTTGCTGGAACGCTGACACCCGAGGTCAAACACAACCCTGATGCGGCCCTCAATTAAATTGGGTTTGACACCTCTGATCTATATTACCTTTGAGAAAGACTTACTGTCAAAATTCCGACTGACGAACCCAACTGAGCAAGTACGATCGAGACGGTCCAATCCCTTTAGGCAAAACTTTATTGAGTACATCCTATCGGCACAGATTAAGGCAAAACCAGCTCTGGCTATTTCTCACACAATCCTGTATAATTAAAATATAGAATTCTCCCTTCTCGCCTTGGTGTAGGTCACAAATTGTCCAAATTCAATGCAATTGAATTGTTATAGGAAAATACTGCTGGAGATCTTAGCCACCTGCTGAATAGGTGACTCTCTTGAACTCTGAAGCCTACATTCCATTCCCCCCCCGTTCTCCCCCTTAGTTCGTTGGCAAGCTGAGAAATGATAATCGTTGCAACAGTATAATCGTACTTCGAAGCCTGACGCTTACCTTAGGAACAGAGTGACCAGATCCCTTCATTGATTGAGTTCAAAGGACCACTTGTAATTGCTCAAGATTGATCGTCAGTGCACTGCTATTGCACGCTAAATGCAAAGAGAGAAAGGGCAGGTCTGTGAGAAGTTACTTCCAAGGAATAGTAAGACCTGGAAACCAATGGCAGAAGAGAATTTTCAGTTAGATACCCCCTCCCCACCTCGCAAAGATGGCATTTAGACAACTAAAGGCCTCCTCTCTGTTTCAGGGTAGGTGCTTTTTCCAGCAACAATTATTTATTATTTTTATTTTTCATATTTCTAGAACACCCATCTTCCTCAAGAACATTAACTCCCTTTTTTTACAACCCTATAATCCCTTAATTCAGGGTGCAGTCAGAAGGCTGGATGGAGCTGAGCATTTACTGGCCAGGTGCCCTTCCTGACACCAGTCAGATTTCACAGCAGATATTTTTTATTTGTTCCCCAGGAGAGAAACATCTGCCGCTACTTAGGATTGAGTTCTCCACCTTCCTTTCTTCATCACTAGGCCACCATGCTGCTCTCCCTCAAGAACATTTAATAGTATTATTCAGGACTCCCCTAGCTTTTTTCTAAGTGTCCCTTAATCATTTACTCATAGGCTTCCTCAAAATATTAGCAATGAATAACCTCATAACCATCGTGCTTGAAGGTTTCCAATAATAGACAAATAAATGCTAGAGAAATCTGAAAATGACTTGGAATGTTCCAAAAATATCTCCCCCACACACACACACTTTTTAGTCAAAATTATGGATGGGTTTGGAAAGTCAACCTTGACTTAGCTCCTTGATCTCATGAAGCTGTATAATTTTTCTAATTTTACTATTTATTTTGGGTTTCTTTTCTGTTTTTACAATATGGTTGTGATGTTCTACATTTTGTTTTTCTACATCCCCTATGAAAGCTGGATGGAAGTGCACTAAAATATCTTTTCAACAAAGTAAAATAAAAATATAGCTCTACTTTGGGAGAAGCTTGAGCTACAAGGCCAGCAGGTTTTATGCCAATAAATACAAAGCCCATGTTTAGAACCCTGCTTACCTTTTCATATTTCCCATCTGCTTCTCTCCATATTCCCTAAAATAAAATGGAAGACTGTTGAGGAAATGGCTTCAGGGGGAGCATTGCAAATAATGAGCAGTATTCTCTGTATTAGGAGGACTACTTGGAATAAGGCATATAACACAATATATATATATATATTTTCTTAAATATAGATATATTTTTAAAGATATGCCCAAAAGGAAACAAGCTTAAAATTGGTAAAATGAGAAATTGACACTACCCAAATCCAAGTCTATGGAACTGTTCCTTTAGACATTTGTAGGAACTCATCTACGATCTTCAGAATTACCAAAACTCTTTCATATATGGGGTATACACAGGAGTGGGATTCTACCAGTTTGCACCTATTCTCTAGAACCAGTTGTTAACATTCTAAGCAGTTTGGAGAACTGGTTATTAGAAGAAATTACTGGCCTAATCCTGTAAGGGAGGCAGGAAGGAAACATTCTGGTGTTGCTTACAGAAACTGCCTCTCCATTAACCCTTATTACATTCTTGGCAGGACTAGACTTCCTGTCTCAGGAACCTCTCTGGAGTTATAATCCCCTCCTTTGCTGGTACTTTTCTTGTGTGGAGTGACCATTCAAAGTTACAATGGCACTGAAAAAAGTGACTTATGACCATTTTTCACACTTACGACTGTGGCAGCATCCCCACAGTCACGAGAGGCCAGGCGAGGAGATGCGTGCCTCAATGTAAGTGATATTGAGTTGGCCACACTCAGCTAATAACATGATCACCAAGCCATGTCCACCCATTCACATGACCACCAAGCCACACCCACCACCTAAGCCACGCCCATAGAACCAGTTGTTAAAAATTTGAATCCCACCCCTGGGTATACACTTTCTGTGAAGAATTTTGGTACAAACATAAATGCACCGTTTCCATTTTCTAAGCTGAGATTTAAGTGACTCCAAACGAAGCAAACCTAACAGTCTCTCAATTGAACTCTTTACTTATCTTAGATTTTGAGCAGTAATAATTTGAGGGATCCCCCTTCTGTCTTTGCAATGCATAGCTTTTAAAGAACTTCTTAAAGGAGGAGAAAGTTTATTAATTTCTACAAGTCCCCCTCCCTGCTTGACGCACATATTTCATAATTTCCGAACTCTCTTTGATCAAGGAGGCCATCCAGCACACCTGTACAATCAATCTACAGCCTTCTTCCCCAATTATAGCAGATGGAGTATCAATGTGAGAGCCCATCTGCCACTTGCTGAGATATCTGTCTGTTGCATAATTAAAATGTAAGTCTATCTATAGAGATCCTCTCTGCCTATCAAATTTATACAGACCCTTTTCCATCAGGTCAGCCTTTGCTTTGACATTATAGAAAGGGCTCTCCTGTCTTCAGCTGTGCTCAGTTTCTGAAGAGCTACTAAGCTGCACCCTTGACCTGGTACTGACTCAGTAGATGTGATGAGCCATATCTAAAAGAGTCTCTACATCTGGACAGCCAGGTGGACCAAACCGTGGAAGTTTTCCCGATAAGTAAGTATTTAATAAATAAATAAGTATACTTTCGTCAAACTTCTTTAGGACTGATCCAGCCAACTATGCTGGATGAAATGAAAATGATGAGGAGCCTTTTTGGAAGGGTTTTAAGATGTTACTCAAATGAGGATGGGGGGGAAGGAAGTAATATGGAAATAGTCCCCTCTATCGTGTACTACTGGCCTTGTCTTTGTGACACCCGGATGTTCAGAGCAAAAAGTAACTAAAATGCACATGCCTGGGAATTTTTCCTGCACATTGTGTGATATAAATCTACATACCACCAAGACTTACAGCAGGGTGGAGAAATATGTGATCCATGTGATAATTAATTCAGATTCCATTCATGCTGGGATTTATGATCCAACAGCATCTGAAGGGCCACATATTATCCAACTTCCTGGTAAAAACATTGCTGCATTTAGCACAATGCTGCTTTCTTTCAGTACATGGAACGTTTTTCTTTGTCATGTAGTTGAGATTATTTTTCCAAACAGATAATTTAAAAAATTAAGAAAAACCAGCTTCACGGAGCTACAAGAGATGTCCTAGTATGCAGAAATGTTCAAATCCTTTTCTTTTTTTTTAGTTTCCTTTTTAAGTGGAATAAGTGTGCTGAAACTACTGGACCGTTTAATGTGCTTCTTTTTATTTCTATAAAAACAAAAACAAAAAAATAGCACCAAAGATAATCTTGCTTTGCTGGTCATTTTTAGTAGCACAATATGAAGATGTGGAAGAAAAGGAGGGTTAGGAACATATGTGTACAGGGGTGGGGAGGAAGACAAGACAGAAATTTGGAGATTATATATACAATAAATTTCTTCTCTGTCACTGGCTCTTCATCACACAGGTCATGTGCCTTAATGTATTTGCATTTGTCTGCTATAATCCCAGCTATAAAGTAAAACAGCTTCTACTTAGCAGCTGAAGCTGGTAAAATGTGGTTAAATTTATGCTAAGGCAGCTTTCATAGTAACTGTTTTTATATGTGAAATCAAGTAAATGCCCAAAGCCCTTGACTTTCAGGACCAGTAAAATAGATTGTACAATTCTTATTAAAATAGCAATACCACTTAGACTTATATGCCACTTTACAGTGCTTTACAGCCCTCTCTAAGTGGTTTACAGAGTCAGCATCTTGCCCCAAACAATCTGGGTCCTCATTTTACCCATTTTGGAAGGATGGAAGACTGAGTCAACCTTGAGCCAGGTGAGATTCGATCTGCCAAATTGCAGTCAGCTGGCAGACAACAGGAGTGGCCTGCAGTATTTATTCTAACCATGCACCACTGTGGCTCTAAAATATATTTTACATTGTTCCTGTAGTCTGTAACTTTTTCCTCTGGAAACCCATTCCCACTCCTACACCATTTAAAGGGTGTTCATCCCAAATTGTATAGCTAAAAGTCTGCAGACTACAGGAACCAGGAGCACTACTCAAGTGACCCTGAAGAAACAGATAAACCTCCAAGTCCTTCAGCGACCCTTTAAAAGGATGCAAATGACTAGCTGTCTGCAAGGAATATAAATCCTTCCGTTCCCCCACTCTCCTGTCAGAACTGAAGAAGCTTCTTGGATGAGAAGCAAAACGTCTTCAAAAGGAAAAATAAGAAAGTCCAATTGCCTCCTGAAAACCACCTTTGAGACAATCTCTACAGACTTTTACTTTTCTACTAGTATTTCTTAATCTCATGTCTTCCATTTAATTAACATTTTCTGTTTGTTTGTTGTTGTTGTTTTCTTTTTGTTGGACTATTGCAATGTGGTTGAAAAATGCCTTGGAAGTTACAGCTGGAATGTGGAAGACCGGCGGCTGGTTAGAGTGGCCAGCTATTGTAAAATTATACCTATCCTGAGGTGGTTGTCTGTTTTCTGTTATGCAACTCTCACAGCAATTATGAGCTATCGTCTCATTATATTTACATTTAGCGGACTTGTTGAAAATGTTTTTTTTTCTTTGTTGGACAATGTGGAGAGTCTTTCTTACTGGATGAATCTGCAAATATTTTAAAAAGTAAAAGTAAAGATAAAGGAATCCCTGTGAATTTTACTCAGCTGGTCATTGACAGTATATAGCAGGCAGTGCTCACCTCTGTTTCCAGGCCATTAAGCCAGCACTATCTGAAAAGATTTCCTTGGTTATGTGGCCAGCGTGATGACACTGAGTGCTGTAACATTCCCATCAAAGTGGTACCTATTTATCTACTTGCATTTGCATGCTTTTAAACTGCTTGATGGGCAGGAGCTGGGCCAGGACGGGAGCTCAACCCATCACACGGTGCTCAGGTCTCAAACTTGGGCTGCCTGCTTTCCAGTCAACAAACCCAATGTCTTAACTGCTGAGCCACTGTGCTGCTCACAAATGTTTTAAATACTTGCAAATTAAAGAAATGCTATTGATGATGGAATGTGAAGATTCTCAGTCATCCAGATCATGGTTGTTCCAAAGGTGCTTTTTCAAGAGACAACTGGATTCTCTGGGTTTTCTTTGAAGATGTTTCACTTCTCATCAAAGAAGCTTCTGAAGAGAAGTGAACCATCTTCAAAGAAAAAACAGCAAGTCCAGTTGCCTCTTGAAAAAGCACCTTTGGGTCTTGCTGGTTTAGTGACTGTTCAGTTACAATGGCATTGAAAAGATTGCCACTGTAGTCCTCACACTTATAACTGTCACCGCATCCCCAGGTCAATAAAGGTCAAGTGATAAAAGTTTGGGGGCTTTGCAATGGACATTATTTACAATGACCGCAATGTCCCAGGGTAATGTGATCACCATTTGCCATCTTCCCTGCCGGCTTTCAACAAGCTCTGATAATGGATTCTCTTAACAATTGTGTCATTCACTTAACAACTGCAGTTGTTTGCTTAACAACTGTGGCAAAAAAAAATGTTGTAAAATCGGGCACAACTCACTTAACAATCCCCTTTCTTAACAAAGGAAATTCTGGTTCCGATTGTGGTCGTAAGTCAAAGACTACCTATAATCTATTGTGAGGAGATTTACATGAGGAGGCATATTTTCATATTTTCAGAAATGCTTCTAGACAATTTCATTCTTTGTTTCAGGAAGACACACTACTCAAGCCACTTAAGGTATTCCTCTAAAAGACAACACATATGACCAAAGAAGGGCAGAGATCTACATACAAATTCTTGAACTATAGTAATCCAAATTTGGGGATAATTTGTGTTACACATGAAGCAAGATGATTGTTCCTATTTTGGGTTTAATTGGTTTGAAAGAATTCCCATTATATTTAGGAAGCCCTGGAATCAAAGCAAAGCAATGTACTTTAGTTCAGGTCAGGATTTGACCAATTTTAATCTATTGGGACCAATATAAGTTGGCCTTTCTGTAATTCTGACATTTTCCTGATGACATTTGTATTGCTAGGAATACAACTGTAAAAATAAATAATTAAATATAGATGACTATCATGGAAATGCCTTTAATCATGTCTCCAAGAAAAATTCTTAGTCCTGAAACTTAATTTCTTATGCTTTCTATGTTTTTTCTATAATTTATAGTCAAGATAGCTAATACACAACACAACCCAGAGATATAAAGCAACTCAACAAGCCAAAAATAAAATTGATGACATATCTGCAGTCCTTTGAATTGCAATGTGCTTCCCATTGTTCTCAGACCTGTTTCCTTCAGGCTTCATAGGTGTAACTTGTAAAACATATTAAACTTTCCCAAATACCCAGTTCTATTGCTTGGAAATGCAAATAACAGTTCAAAGAAGTGTGGCCACCTACGCTGCCAGCATGAAATAAGAAGTCTATCAAATAAAGGAATTATCCAGTCTCTCCTTGACTATTTATTTATTTTTATTCCCACACTTCCTCTATAGTGTACTCCCACAAGCAAACAGTGGTGAGATTTGAAAAATGAGGTACCATCTCATTCCCTGGCTAAGTAAAGGACTATCCATTATCCTTGTATTCTATCAGATGATGTCATTGCCCCTGCTTTGAATAATGTTGTGCAGCGACTTCCTCTGCCTTCTGGTGGAAGGCCATCTGGATTCCATTTTACAATGCTAGAGGCATTAGCAATTGACCCTGCAAGCTTCTGTAAACTTCTATACAAAGGACAAACTGACTTTGTCCTTTTCATAGGTTGCCACTGATGATGATATCCTAAGATAGTTCTTGGTACCAGCAAAGCTGGTGTATATAAAGACGTACAGATGATATATAGAGATAGCAATAGAGATAGAGATAAGAGATATACAGATATAGATGATATAAATCAGGGATGTCAAACTCAAGGGCCAGGGGTCAGATCCAGCCCACAGGGTGCTTAGATCTGGCCCACGGGGCCGCCCTGGAAACAGCAAAGGACTGGCCTGTGGTGCCTCTGCCAGTGAAAACGGAGCTCGGGATGTTCTCCCGAGCTCCGTTTTTGCTGGCAGAGGGTTGCAGGAGGCCATCATAGCCGAAAATGGAGCTTGAGAGCCCATTTTCGCTGGGCTCGGGCCACCATAAGCGCCACCGACATGAGTGATGTCGAGCTGGTGATACCCATCCTGGCCACGCCTACCCTGACCCCCTGAGGTCAAACACAACCCTGATGCAGCTCTCAATGAAATCAGCACTCCTGATATAGATGATAGAGATAGATAAAGAGATAGAGATATTCTGTTACATTAACTCTGAATTGTTCTTCCCAGATTTATTACGTGAACTTGCATTTTCTTTCATTTTAATCTATTTTTATGGGTGTTGAGTCTTGGCTACTGTTATGTTCTGAGCATGGGCGCAAGGAACGGAGACGAGGCAGAGAACTTGTGAACTTCAACTCTTTATTAACGATTAAGAACAGAGCCAAAACCCTGGGCAGCAGCAGCTCTTTTATAGAGCTGGCTGCTGACCCGTTAACCAATGATTTGCGTTCCCACGTTTAAATTGTACCCAATGAGAGATGTTCAACTAATAGCCAATCAGGCTGCTCCGTAAAGGACCAATCCCTGCTCGCTATTCATGGGCCAATCAAAGGTGCAGGATTACGAGCCTGCTTTTCTCGTAAGGTTGACAAGTTTTTATTAAATAGTTTTTATTAGTTCATAACAGCTACCTTGATTTTCTTTGTAGTATTATTTCCCCACCATTTGCAACACTTGCAGCTTACGCATTATTTTCAAGTTTAATTAAAGTGCTACTCGTCAGCTTTTCGATAGTCTAAAAAAGTTGGTGTAAAACTGATGCTTTTGTGACATTAACATTTTTCAGGGTAAAACGCCTGCAAATTTAAAGCACAGCTTATTTCTGTATCAGCATATCTGGGTCTGTGAGATAAGGGGGAATCTTTCTTCCTTTTGGTCTAAAGACCTTCTCTGCATTCTGGCATGTTTATTATTATTATTATTATTATTATTAGAATTTTTAAATATAAAAAAATAGAGAAATAAGAGGGGGGAGAAAAAGGAAAAAGATAAGTACAACTTCCATCCTTGGTTCAATCAACTATTTCCTGTCTTACTCTTCCCCTCCCTCTCTATTTCTTTTTTTTTTTTGTGTTGTTTTTTTTTGTAAGAAGACTAAAAGAAAAAAAAAGAAAAATATTTATGGCAGGTCTAGTGGTTAAAGCAACAGGCTAGAAACCAAGTGACTGGGAGTTCTAGTCACACTTTAGACATGAGAGCAAGCTATATCTAATTTATATATGGAAAAATTGCTCAGTGATTGTATTTCAGTCTCACACAGTTAAGTCCAAACTGACTGACTGGATGTTTAGATTTATAATCTTTCAAGAAGCAATTATAAGAATCAAGTTAAGAAGTGCAGGTCAGTTCATCTTTTGATAGTTTTGGAGAGAAAAAAAGCAAAGATTTTATTCATTGATCAAATTGAATAAGATTTTAAAGAAAATTAATTGTTCATTGCCAACTTATACACACACACATACACACACACACACACATGTTGGCAAGCGGGGTCATCATGGACAATACATATACAAAAGAAATCTGAAGATAGATATGATAGATAGACAGATAGATAGTCAGACAGATGATAGATAGATAATCAGTAAATAATATAGGTAGGCAGGTAGAGATTGAGGAAGATATTTTTTTGTACAAATCATATTTCAGAATTTTATACTGATAAATTCAATGTTTATTAAAGAATTTTTAAAAGAATAAAAATAATACACATTTTGAAAAACTCAAAGGAAGTAAATAAAAATAGTAAGTAGAAAAAGTTCAAAGAATTGAACGGAATGGAAAAAAGGAAAAGAAAGGACAGGAAGGGAAGGGAAGGGAAAGGAAGGGAAAGGAAAGGAAAGGAAAGGAAAGGAAAGGAAAGGAAAGGAAAGGAAAGAGTTACAAAGGAGTAGACACTTCCAATTTTCTTAGCAGCAGTTACAATAACATTTATATTTTACCCCCTCTCTCGAAGGTAACAACTTAATGTCAGTGGTGGGATTCAATTTTTTTTTACTACCGGTTCTGTCGGTGTGGCAGGGGAAGGATACTATAAAATCTCCAGTCAGAGATGGTATTTGCCGGTTCTCCGAATGACTCAAAATTTCCGCTACCGGTTCTCCAGAACTGGTCAGAACCTGCTGAATACCACCTCTGCTTAATGTCCTTCTTTCCATAGTAGACCTAATCTTAGTCTTTCTAATCATCAGACATAAATCACAGGTTCATTTTTTTTTTTCTGGTTTCAGCAAAATGTCCATAAGGGGTTCCAGTTACTAATACCTGTACTTATTGTACTTTCTCTACTCAAACAAGTAAACTTTGCCATCTCTGTTAATTCTGTCATCTTTACTAGGCATTCCCGTGGTGGGCTTTTCAGAATATTTCAGTTTTGTGCGTATAATAATCTCACATTAGTTATTATATATAAAAATATTTTTTCTAATTTTAGATCTGTTAGTCCTAGCAAGAAGAGTTGGTTTTATTTGAGTATTAATCTTTTTTTTAAAACAAATATGTCTCTCCATATGTATTCGAACCCCAAATTTTCAACTCCACCAGGCATGATGTACCAATAGTACACCGTTGTAAAAACTTCTCTTTTAATACAACATAATTTCAATCCTTTCAGCCACATATTTTCCCATTGTTCCCTAGTATATTTTGTCCAAAGTTGTTAGTCCATCTTATTACATGGTCTTTCACGTCTTCCATTTCAAATTTCAAAAACGTTTATACATCTTAGCACTAGCATGTTCATCATGTGTATATAGTTCAATTTTAAATGCTGTCTTGTGCTGTTCATTTCCAAATGCCTTGTTATCTTAAATCTTTTTCTCCAATGTATATGCGAAAATCTTTGAAAAATTAAATCCCGCTACAGTCAATTGATCTCTTAATTTCATTTTATATTCTCTCTGCTCTTGTTATAACTATTCTTGATAAGTTAACCATCTCTCTTTGCCTGCTGTTTCTTTTCTCTAAAATGCTTTTTATGCTGAGACTTGTAATGGCATTTTTGGGCAAACTCTGGGTTTATAACTATTTCATGTTCTCAATATGGCACTTGCAATTTAGTGATTTTTAAAAACCACATTAATCTTAACTTTATCATACCATGGAAAGCCATGTCATCCAAATCTCAGGTCATACTCCTTTAGTTCCGAAAATCTCTTATTTCTCAAGAAAACTCACTTTCTCATCTAGTAAGTAGCAGGCGACAAAATACAATTTCAAATGAAGCAGTCCCAGTCCTTCTGATTCCTTTGCATCTTGAAGGATTTTACATATAATCCTTGGCTTTTTCCCCTTGCCATACAAATCTAGATGTATTTTTTTTTGCCATTGCTTAAATAGTATATCAGTTATTGAATAAGGTATTGGGTGAAAAAGAATTATTCGATGCAATACATTCATTTTTATCACATAATTTCTTACCAACAATGGCAATGATAATTTCTCCAGTTTTAGCATATCCTTAATTTCATTTTTTTTTTCATTATGTGTCTTAATTGTTTTAAAATTGCATACAATTTGTATTTATTCAAGTTTCATTTTTTTCTCAATGTTAAAATTAGTGATGTTTCGTCAATATTGTTGTGTTTTCATATCCATCAGGCTTGGTTCATGTGTTCATTGGTCAAAGATGAGGGGAGATATAATATATCACTAATCTATTATTTTCTTCAGCTACCACTATCCCCAAACAACATGGCCTCATCCAGTATGCTGCCGGCATTATTGCTGGTAATAGCAACTTCTTAAGCTTTTCAAGTTAATGAGACACATTTATTGACACAAAATACATTTATGCATAAACTATCCATTTATGTTTACAAAACCTGCATGCACCAATTTGTTCAGCATTCTCCACCTAGAAAGATGAAAAAGGAGAAAGATGAGGAATCGAGTCAATTACCCTTGCTTCATAATCTCCGCGAATATGATCCATTTGGGAACAATTAATACTTGTCCCTGATAAAAGTGTAGCTTTAATTATACATCTGAAGCATGGCCTAAATTGGTAATCTTCATTCGCTAGTCCTCTAAGAAGATCAGACACTTAAACAGGCTTCTTATATGTTGTCTATTGTGTTTTCAAATTGAATTCTTGTCCATCTTAATAAGAAGTGTGGGGTGCAAGCCACGTGATAGCATTTGCTTAGAGATGAATCATTGGTATTGATTTTCTAGACAAACACTGCAAATAGGAAATCCAATAGGCTAGAAGATTCTAGGGAGTCATAGAAAGAAAATCTTGTAATTGTATGGAGTTTGCTTTCTTCTAGCCAAAGTACATAAGTCTTCCCTTTAGTTCTGTTTAAGTGCTCAGAAAACCAATTTCCCGAGCACAGTAAATTTACAAAATCAAGACTTTAAATTCATGTTATAAACTTTCACCGTTTGTTCATAAAGCCACGTGACAACAATACAGCAACCCAAGAACTTCTTAGCATCTTAAGCTTAGTTCCCTAATTCCAGTGGTGGGATTCACCCCTTTTTTTTTACTACTGGTTCTACGAGAGCGCATTTTGCATGCGCAGCGTGCTTCATGTGCATAGCATGCTTCACTTGCTTCGCATGCGCAGCATCCATAAACCACCGATGTTAGGCTTCAAAACTGACCTTGTGTTCAGCACTAGTGAGTAAAACAGCTGAAGCGCCGCAATGTGCTCTGCCGTGTGAACCAGCTGAGGTCTCAAACAAGGAAATAAAGCCCAGGAAAGGGCGTGGGTGGGTGGGTGGGTGGGTGGACGGGGCCAGTTGCTCACTGGCACTACCAGTTCATTAGAACTGATGTGAACCAGCAGCATCCCACCACTGCCTAATTCCATGAATGAACTGGTGGGATGAAACCACGTTGATAAGGATAATAAACAGTTCTGCATTCAGAATCAGATGGGAGTAATCTATCCAGTGAGACTAATGTTTCAAAGAAGTAGATTACTATTTATGTACAGTTTTTGTTATTACAGGAGGGTGACTATTAATCAGCACTCCATATGTCACCTAATAAAAAAAAAAAGTATGATTTCATCTCATAGGATAAGATCTCCTATTATGTGAGAGACACTGAGTCACTCTGTGATAACAAATACATTTTAAAAATGGCATGGATGGAAACGCCTTAGGAAAAGAACCAGCCGCAATGAATTGTATTAAAATAGAAAACAAGTGGCACCCCAAACAGTGCTTTACTTCAACACCCAACAGCTCTGGATACCATGACCAATGGTGAAAGTTGCTGGGACTTGTCAGTTGGAGGACACAGGTTCTTTATTCTTTGCCTCCATTACTGGCACAAGCCGAAGGGATTCAAACAAATTTCCAATACTTTGAGGTGCACAGTCTGAGGTAAATGAGGAACACTTATTTTCTCATTGAAGAGAAAGTTTTGAGTTAGTTCATATCCATTTCTAATCAGGTTTTAGAACTTATATTCTCTGACTGCGGAAGAAATAAGTCTGCAGGATTCAATCTGGGGTCAGGCACTGGGACCAGCAGTTTACTCTTTTGAGCTTTTGGACTCGTGCTGGAGTCCATCCTCAGGGAACATCTTTGTATGCTTTGGGCTGTTCTCTATGTGGTATTTATATAGTGCCTATTGTGCGTAGCTTTATAGATGCAGATCGGGGAGTGGATGGCTGGCATAAGCGCACCAACGTGCCTACCGTCCCTGTCCTATTGTTTCTCTTATTCTTTTATTTTTCTTATATGTACCCATTTCATATATTCACAACTATGTATACACTTGTACTTATTATCTTGTAAACAATTGACAAATCAAATAAATAAATAAATAAATAAATAAATAAATAAATAAATAAATATTAAGCCATTGGCTGTTGTTTCCTTGTGCTGCCAGGCCCTCATCCCCTGAGTACTTGATAAGCTGCAGATCAAACAGTACTCCTGTTGATTGACAGGAGGGACCCATTTCAATCATTTCAGTCCAAAGCAGAGGTGGTATTCAGCAGGTTCTGACCAGTTCTGGAGAACTGGTAGTGGAAATTTTGAGTAGTTTGGAGAACCAGCAAATACCACCTCTGACTGGAGATTTCACACTATTCTTCCCCTGCCACGCCCACCAAGCCACAACCACAGAACCGGGTGTAAAAAAACATTGAATCCCACCACTGATCCAAAGCACATAGAGAACTTCCCTGAACATGGGTTACAGCATGAGTCCAAAGATTCAGAAAAAAAAAACAAAAAACCTCTGGTCCCAGATTGTATCCTGCAACATTATCCTGGGACAGGTATATTCACCTTCATTCATGATAAATAAGTCTAAATGATTCCCAGTCACCTTTTTTTTTAAGCAAAAGGGATGTTGATGTTTCATAGAAGGGTGGTGTTAGATCCATTTCAATAAATCAAGTCCTGGCATGAAAGAGTGATAAGAATCATAAAAAACTCATTGACTCTTTAGTTAAACAGAATTCAGAAAGAAAAGCATTCTCTCCCAAGCCTGTTAATATTTATTCTGAATTACACAAATGTTGTTAGACTAAAATCCTCATACAGACAGATTATTAGTTTAACAAGTGCTCGTAGTTTTTACAATGCTGAAAAAAGTGACTTTCAACCAATCCTTGCCCTTACAACTATCACAGGGATGGCTTCACTTAGCGACTTCATGAATTGCTTAACAACCATTACAAAAAAGGTCATAAAATATGGCATGATTCACTTAGTGACTGCCTTGCTTAGCAATGGAAGTTCAAGTCCCAACTGGGGTCGAAGGCTAGCAGTACATTAAGTAGAGTATAGCTAATGGGCAAAGATAATGGGATTTGGCGTTTAACAGGAGCCAAACATTCATATATTCATCCATTTCCATTCAAAGATTTAGATCAACAGTTTGTAAGAACGAAATGCATTTCCAACTTTAATTCAGGGGGGTGGGAAATGAAAGGTTTTGCAGTCTGCAGATTTGGGGGGGAATTGCCATAGAGCTGCATGATGGCAGGAGGCGAATACTGGCTTCCAATTAGAAAAATATGGTGGGATGGACGATATAATATTTGAAGGCTGAAGAATTGGCACAATTATGCCATGAATGTAGGCAGAAGTTCATTTCCATTTTTAAACATTTTAGAATAGCATTAAATGGTACAGCTCATGGTACAGCTTTGCAGGCTTCTTATCTTGAAATGATAAGAGCTTTGAAGACTACCCAAAAAGAGAGAACGCAGGTCTGCTGGTGGCGTAGTGGTTAGAGTGCAATACTGCAGGCTACTTCTGCTGACTGCTGGCTGACTGCAGTTGGCAGTTCAAATCCCACCAGGCTTAAGGTAGACTCAGCCTTCCATCCTTCCGAGGTGGGTAAAATGAGGACCCAAAATTGTTGGGGGCAAGATGCCAACTCTGTAACCTCCTAAAAAGGGCTGTAAAAGCACTGTGAAGCAGTATATAAGTCTAAGTGCTATTGCTATTGCTTGGTGCTCAGAGTATTAAGATGTTCATCAGTAGCTCCATTCTTCCAAGGTGAATATGAACTATTGATGAATGAATTTGAGACATCGCAGGAGGCTGTGAAAGTTATCGGAGGAATACTAGAACTAACTAACCAAGAAAGGAGAGAAGTTCATTTGTAGCTTATCTCAGGATTAGCAACTCAGTCCAGCTACAGAAAGCCCAGGACAAAGAGATCTGAAAAGCTCAAGGGAATTTAATGAACTTGCTAATAAAGGAGGGCTGGAGGTTCCTGTCTCAATTTCCAAGATTCAGCTCTCGGTCCCTAATTCTTGCATTACTGAAGGCTGCGTGGTTCTTGTTTTCTTGATTGCGCCCCGAGGCGGAGAATCAGAGCTTGACAGGGAGAAATGATAGTTCCGCTAAACCTAGGACTATTATTATTATTATTTTGGCATATCTGTTATATGCCGGAAAGTGCACTGGCCTACATCCAAGGATCTCTAACCAATTTCTCAATTGAGGGGAAATACCCAGCTTAATTGCCAGATGGTGACAAGCCAATCTCAGCAGTTCCAGAGCAGTTTCTGGTTTGGAGAAAAACCAAGGTTGTTGGCGTGGGAGCTTTTAAACACATACCCAGCCAGAGCCCTTGACTTGGTTGCCAGAAGTGGCCTTTACAAATCAGGAGGAGGTGCCCATGAAGAAACTGCTGAACCAATAGCGTGCTCAACCCAATCAGAAGTTCCTCATCCCACCCTCCTTCTCTTTTTCTCTCATACAGGAAGACTACTGGGGGGAGTGGGGGAAATCTTCATTTTTGTAAAAAAGCCAATTTTCCATTAGGGCTGCAAATAAGCCCTTGCTTCACCACAGACACACACATACACACAGCATCTTCTGTCGGTGAAATAGAGCGGAGACCCTGGTCTGAGGGTTGATTGGCCCCACTGAGGTTAGCGGGGGTGGGTCCTTCTGGGGAGGGGGACAGGATTGTCGTAGAAGAATGAAGACCGGCTCTTTGAAAGCGAGAGGAAAGAGAGCCGGGAAGTGGGAGGCACAGAGAGACAGGCACACGCACAAGGAAAGAAAAAAAAAAGGCAATTAAGCTAATGCAAGTTGGGTGTCACAAGGTTATAGATATTTCAAGAGCTGAGCAATTTACCGTCTGGAAAAGGAGGCGAGCACTTGCATAAAATGTCCCTCAGTTCAGATTTATTATGCTTTTAGTTGTGTTCTATGTGCTACAATTAGCAGTAGGTGCCAATAAGGCATTCTCTCAAGGACATGGTCATTCCATACCATCTGTTATTAATTGCATTGTCCTTTCCACAGCCAGCTAGAGGGGAAAAAGTTCTCAGATAAGCACCTGAAAATTCTTACCACAGGATGACCGGCATTTAAAAATACCTGCAGCAGTGGGAAGGGGGGCAGGAATTAGGAATAGCTAAGAAG